TAAAACCTGAGATTCAATGCCTCTTTCAACTCTCTAGTCTATGGTATAATGTATTTGCTTCTTACTGGCAGGGTACCATGCAGCCCTGGACAGCCTTCTCTACTGGAATGCTCTTCCACCAGTTTTCTTTGAAGTCTGGAATAGTAAGTTGACAACTCCCCTTCAGAAAGTCTTTTCTAGTATAGCTCACTAGTGAAAAACCCACACAACTGCTTTATTTCTCTAATCTTCACTTGAAATTGTAAACTGTGTTTATGTCCCATTCCTCACTGGAATGAAAGCTCCCTGACAAAAGGGAATTGATCTAGTTCTGGTCAACAGTGCTGCCACAGCTTGTACAATAATGCTATGTTATATCAACATGTGTGCCAAACTACCAAACAAGAACCTTTCAACAGCCAAAGAATTGTATTAAAACTCTTTAGAAAATTTTGCTTTGAAATACACGCTGAGTATCTTCAACAGTACTTTGAAATTTTAACTATTACTAGTCTGTATGACCCCAAGAACAAAATTTTCCCTGAATATTTATTACCTTTTTACAATATAAGTAGCCAACATTTTTGAAATTTTGAATATATTGGTTGATAATTCTTACAAGTACCTACCAAAAGTTTCAGATATGATATTACAAAAGAAAAATAACTTTTCTTTCAGAGATTACTGAAATTAATAAAATTTGAATTATTCACAAAATGATTTTGACAAGTCACTAAATAACCTTTGTTAAATGAGTCATCATTGAGTTGATAAAACATCTGTAATTTTAAATTACCTCATTTATCACAAATAATTTATCTTTACGGTCCATTTTAGTATCTATAAAAAGAAAAAGAAAGCAAGTGAATTATGGATTTGAAGACTACCTTACTTTGATTACTTATGTTATCAAGATAATAATTTTTACAATAAAGATTTTTTTTGTTGTTGTTTGTTGTTGTTGTTGTTGTTTTCCCAGACAGGGTTTCTCTGTGGCTTTGGAGGCTATCCTGGAACTAGCTCTTGTAGACCAGGCTGATCTCAAGACAGAGATCCGCCTGCCTCTGCCTCTGCCTCCCAAGTGCTGGGACTAAAGGCGTGTGCCACCACCACCTGGCTATTTTTACAATAAAGATTTTTAGACTGATTAATCCTAAAAACCATTCCACCTCTTCATTCATATAAACCAAACAAGCAGTGGGGAGATAGTGCAGTGCATACTTGCCACTGTATTGGGTATTTTTTTTTATTTTCAGACACTCTAATTTTGCTCAAGCAGGCCTTGAACTTTCAATTTTCAGACCCCCAGCTTCCAAGCAACTGAAATTATAAGCCTGTGCAATCTGGCCTGGCTCAAAACTGAAACTTTTTTTTTTTTAGAGAGGGTCTCATGTAGTCCAAGCTAGCCTCAAAGTGCCTATGTAATTCAGGATGACCTTCAATTCCTGATCCTCCTGCCTCCATCTCCCTATCAGTGAAATGAAAGCTACGTATCACTACACCTAGCTTCCAGAACTAAAGAGACAAACTACGTAGACCAAGTTGACCTTGAACTCAAAAGATCAGGTTGCTTCTACCTCCTAAATGCTGGGTCTAAATAAAGGTGTGTGCCACCACCCCTAGGCAAAACTTGCAATTTCGACTAATGAAAATGTAATTTTGAGTCAAATAAACCAATTTTAAAATTGGCTTTGGATAATCCTAGAAATGAAACTTGAATCAATGAAACTTTTGAAATAGTTTTAGGGATTGATGACAGCATAGCCAATGTCAGCTTGAGAAGCACTAAGGAACATGTGAAACACAACACAGAAATAGTTCAGGGCACAGCCACACAAGTACAGCTGTCTAATCTCAGGAGCAAGCAGTGTTTCCACTAGCCTCTATACCAGAACACTGGTAAGCCATGGGAGGTGCCACATACTTTAGTCCAACACTGGGCTGAAGCAGGCAGATCTTTATGAGCTCGAGGACAGCCTGGTCTCCATAGTTACCTCCAGGCTAGCCAACTAGCCAAGGCTACAGAGTGAGAGTTTTAAAAGTTCAGAAAGCAATATATGCCAGTCCTTATTTAGTATCCCACCCATCTTCGGACCTTGGAAGCCACTGTAATGAAAGTGTCCTTGAACTTTCAGAAAATGTTTCTATATTAAGGTATATGTTTAAGAAAGTAAAGAAAATGTGGATTTTGTCAATAATTTATAAAATATTAAATTTCTTTAAAAATCTGGTACTTGAAAGAATAAGCTTTAGAATGTGTATTATGTGTCCCTGTCCATCCATCCAGAGATCAACCTCAAGCATTTTTCTTCAGGTTCAGTTCACCTTGTTTTTTGAGACAGGGTCCTTAAGCTGGCCTAGAGCCTGCCAACTAGGCTACGCTGGCTTGCCAGCAAGCCCCAGGTATCCGCCTGCCACCATCTTCTAAGAACTACTTATAATAGTGAACCATCATACCCAGCTCCTTTATGGCAGTTCTAGGGATTAAACTCAGGCCCTAGACCTTACTATACCCCCAACACTTGTACTTCAGCTCTTTATCTGACGAGGCTGGGAGAACAAGGGTATACAAATTAGGTAAGTTTATACTTGCAATAAAGTACATATTAAAGTACCTGCTTTAGAATGGGGCATCAACATTCTCAAGTCTTGCATTAAGTGTCTTGTTCTGAAATTTATTCCTCTGGAGGAAAAGATGAGGATTCGCTCCTTGTTTTTCCATTTGCCCTAAAGAAAAGAAAACAGTAAAAGGTTTTAACAACTTGTGCTAAACTTATCTAGTGTGTTTTTTCAACAGTTTTTATAAGTTTCCAGAACCAGACATGGTGGTATATATACCTCCAAAGCCCCAGCTAGTGAAGCAGGAGAGTCACTCAAACCTAGGATGTAAGACTATCCCTGAGAACATAGTGAACTGTCTAAAACAAAGAACACTTTCCAATTGCCCCTTACTTCTATAAGGATTCTTTCTTAGCACCCTTTCACTTTTCTAATTTTAGTTCTCTCCATTACAGTACCCTATGCAGATTCCCAGTTTACCTATCCACAGAAAGGCAAGAAGGCTTTCTAGCCCTAATAATACATGAATTAGAGTCTAAACTCAAATGTTTAACACTAAACTTTGCCATACCTTTATCTGGCCAATTTCCTTCCCATCTTCCTCTTTTTCCTCTCTCCCTTCTTCCTCCTACCATCACTTCATTCCTTAGACTCAACAGCCCATTTGCCCTTGTTTTCTTACATAGACATCACAAGCACTACTATATACTATCAGTGCTTCTTTACAACAATTTGTAAATCTTACACAGTGTCCTTACTTAAACCCTTGTAACTGATTATCAGCATCAAAGCTCTTGAATGCCTGGCTTTCCCTGACAAAAACACTTCTGACAGTTATCTAACTAGCACAATTTAATCTTCTAAAAGCATTGTCCAAGTCATGACTTTACCTTCCAGGGATTTCCAAAGTTCAAAATGGCATATACCCTCTATGACTAGACTCTAAAATACATTTTGACTGTTTACATAACCACCGCCCAACACTGGCCCTGAACCTGCTCATCCAACCTGGTTCTAATTTTGAGATTTTTCTGTCTCCCACTTTAATGCCATGAATTATTTTCTCTCTTTGAATATCAAAATTAAATCCTTTCTCTGAAATCCAACTCAGAGGTTAAGTTCTTCATGTTTCCTTAATACCCTGTAAAGTAATCTTTATCTCATGAGTTCCAAAGAATGTGTCATAGTGTGATTCAGATTACAGATTCCAACATGTTTCTGTCGAGCTCCTAAAAGAGGGGAACACTAACACAACATCTATTGAAAACCTGAAAGTCCAGCTCATGTTTCTCAAAGATAACTTCTTCAGACAAGCGTCCAAGATTTAACTGTCAATTAAAACGGGGCAACGATTTACACTCACCTGTCATACTTCAGTTTTTACCTAAGTGCTATAGGACTACCCTAAGCAGAGGACAGATACTAACAAGTCTAAGGTAGTGTGTTTCCCTGCACTAATATGTCTTGCTTAAGGGGTTTTCAGCTGACTGAACGTTAACTCTATTTGCCTTTTGAAGAAACACGTAATTTTCTATGAAGCCTTCTTTCCTTCCAAACACCAGTGTTCCTGGAAGAAGTCTTGTTCATCTCCTGAGATGCCAAGGCCGGGGAAACTCACCTTGATATAGTGGGTCGCACTGCTGAACATAAATAAAACTCATGGTCTAGTCTAGTTTTTTATTATCCCTTGAGTTTAAGATCCAACCAAACAAGTTAGGGTCACAAGAAAATAACTTGAAAATAAAGCAAGCAAACTTCGGTATCCCTGCCTGAAACCGGCCACCCTGCCAGGATATGAAAGGAATAAAGTAAATACACCCAAATGAGAGAAAAAACAAACAAACAAACAAACAAACAAACGACGACGACAAAAACCAAGGGAAAGCACTACTCTGGGGAGATGGGGACACACGAGTGAAAGCATATTACTAGAATACCCCGTCTTATCACCTCCCTGTGAGCTGGTTGGTTACGTGTCTACGGACGGCTATCTCAAGGAGGCCCCCTGCACGAAAATTAGACAGAAACATTGTCCAGTCCAGTCAAGGGGACCCCTAAGCTCGTGAACAAGTGAAGCTTTGGCTACAGTCACGTCGGTAGCGGGCCACGCTGCTTACGCTACACGCATAGCCCCGGAGCTGGGCCTTTTACCTTGCAAACGGGACCTGGAATGCGATCTCTATCTTCTTCTTTCACCTCTTTTTCTACAGAGGCCTGCTTAACTGGCTGCCCGGAATCTTTCCGGCTCTTTTTTGGCTTCTTTGCCTGAACCTCCAAGCCCCCACGCCGCTTCCTCTTGGTCGCCACCATCTTGCCTCGCTGCGTTAGTTGCAAGCCGCACTTCCGGTTCTGCCGCTCGCTCCTTCTTCCCGTCTCTATGATAGTGCACGCTAGGCTCTGGGTTAGTCATCCAGCTGTAGGGCGTCATCTTCCGGTCTCGTGGTAGACTATCTAGGCCCGCGGCGGCTCGGTGGTGACGGTGGCCCAAGAGGCGGCGCGTCTGAACAGTGGCGGGAGCTGTTTGCCGGGCTTGCTAGCTTGGGACGCTAAGGGTGTCCTTCCTGGGCTGGGCTAGGCTGGAAAGGGCCTTGAAGCGTCGGACATCATCTCAAAGGCAGGGCCTGGTGCCCCGGGCTCCGCTTTGTGGCAGCGCCGCAGTACGGCGAGCGGGCTGGTGAGCGGGGTGACAGTCGAGGCCGCGGCCACTCCTGTTCCGTGGCTGGCCAGCTTGGTGGCGCCAGGAGCTGCCGGACAGGTTCTAAGCCGGCTATGCTGCCATTTACCCTGTGGAAACGGCGCCAATTACAGCTGCCCTGTGAATTGCTTTATTATTATTTTTATTTATTTATTTATTTACTCTTTTTTCCCCGCGAAAGACGAGAAAACCGTAGTTTTGAGACAGGGAGATAGAATTTTCCCAAAAGTTTAAGACCGTCCAGTGGTAGAAGCACGGCTCTCCCTGGTCAGCCGATTTGGGCTCAGGTTGAGGTCGCCAGTCCTGTCCGCCCTGACGCCAGGTTTGTTGTTCCTCTCAGGTTTTCAGAGATCTTCCAGAAGAGGAGCATCCTTCCTTCTTTCTCTTCGAGCTGACCGTGCAGTGGACCATCCATGCCTCTCCTAACCCAGCACGTTCAGGACGAGGACGAACAGTACTGCTTAGTGGCCAGCCTTGACAACGTTAGGAATCTCTCCACTGTCTTGAAAGCCATTCATTTCAAAGAACATGCCGCGTGTTTTGCTACTAAAAACGGACTCAAGGTTACAGTGGAAAATGCGAAGTGCGTGCAAGCAAATGCCTTTATTCAGGTATGGGGGAGAGGAGGCACTTTTAGGCATTCACCTAGCTGATGAATTTGGAAGGACCTACTCGCCAAAACTCAAGTTAGAGAATAAAAATGTCATTACTTGATTTTTTTTTCTTTCCTGCCAACAAATACTTTTCCCATCGTGTCACACAGATAACGATTATTCTTGATAGTTTCTTACGGTTAAACTATGAAACACTCTTCTCATCTTTTACCCCTTTTAGTCTTCGCAAAAATTGGCACCTATATCATTCCTATTTACATAAGTGGCAACTGCAACAGATTAATTTTCAGCAGTCTTATGATGAAAATTCAGAATGTTTGTTTACTCTTTACGTTATAATTACTGTTCTTCAGAGTTTAATTTTTCCTCTTATTGGCTGTAATAGCATTTTTTTTTTCCTGAGACAGGATCTAACATATAACTCTGCTTACCTGTAGACTACATTGAACTCAAGTTCCAGGAGATCCATCTGCCTCTACTTTGTATTGAAGTACTGGGATTAAAGCCCTGCACCATCACGCATAGCTATAATTTGTTCTTAAAGCTATAATCTTATTCTTTGTATGGTCCAGATCAGATCTCAACATTCAATCCATATTGTTGAATATTTATATAGTATGACCTCACAAATGAAGGAATAAATAAAACATGGTTTTTGTCTTGGAAAAGAAATTAGAGGGGCTCAGCAGTTAAGAACACTGACTGCTCTTTCAGAGGACCCAGGTTCAATTCCCAGCACCTACATGGCAGCTCACAACTATCTGTAACTATAGTTGAAGGTGATCTGACATCTTCTCACAGACAAGACACCAATGCACATAAAATTAAATAAATTTTTAAAAAGGAATTGGAAACTATTATCATGCATGTACTAAGTTGTCCTATTTTCAAGTGATTTTAGCCTTAACTGATGGGCACAAGGAAGAAGCAGGGAAAGCTGACATGGGTGGTGGGTTTAGATCCAGAAATGAAGATGAAGGACCTCTGCTTCTCTGCTTGGGGGACGGAGGGGTGTCTTTTTTTTTTTTTTTTTTTTTTTTTTTTTTTTTGTGTGTGTGTGTGTGTGTGACTTTTAATTAAGTTTTTTTTTTTTTAATTTTTATGAGTGTTTTGCCTGCATGAATGTCTGCAAAGGTATGTACCTGGTACCTTCAGGGTACCTTCCAGAAGAGGGTGTTGGATCACCTGGAAATGGTTACAGATTGTTGTGAGCCACCATGTGGGTGCTAGGAGTAAAATCTGGGTCCTCTGGAAGAGTAGCCAGTGTTCTTAACTGCTAAGTCATCTGTCCCTGCTCCCTTTTAAATTTTCATCATAACCACACACACACACACACACACATACACACACACACACACTTACTTACTTACTTCAGGGGCCTCTAAATGGGACCTAATTTAGTGTTAACCTTTAGAAGTTAACCCATTGAGTAGTATTATAGTGCGTAATGGTTGAACAATTAGCATGTCTTAGTGGTAATGATAAATTATTTTTATGGAGTTGGCACAGTATTGTTATTTTTAAATTTTTATTTTCTGTGCATTGGTGTACATGTATGTCTTTGTGAGGGTGTTGGATCACCTGGAATGAAAGTCACAGATAGGTGTGAGCTGAGGTCCTCTGGAAGAGCAGCCAGTACTCTTAACCCCTGAGCCTTCTTTCCAGCCCTGTATTGTTACTTTTTAAGCATAAAGTGAAATATAGAGTCTTACATGGGAATTTTTATTTTTTCATATAACCTCACCTTCATTTTTGCTTTTCTCAGGCTGAAGTGTTTCAAGAGTTTATCATTCGGGAAGAATCTGTTACTTTCAGAGTTAACTTAACTATCCTTTTAGACTGTTTATCTATTTTTGGATCAAGTCCTACACCAGGTGAACTATATTATTATTGTTACTATTATTATGATGTAAAAGCATTGTGGTTAGAAAAATACAGGAAAGTTTAAAACGTAAACTTTTTTTGAGACATGGTCCGCATGCACCTCAGACTGGCCTTGAACTCACTCTAAGCTGAGATGTCCTTGAATTTCTCATCCTCCTGCCTCTACCTCTCCAGCGCTGATCTTACAGCAACCACCTATAGTTTTATGTGGTACTGGGAATTGAACCCAGTACTTGATACGTATTAGGCAAGCACTCTGCCAGCTGAGCTACAAGCCCAGGCCAGTAAATATTTTGTTAGAAACTCATTGCTATGGTAGGGCTCTTGAGGTCTACCCATAGTGGAGCAGCTTTGGGCAGCTAACGACTGCTAGGGGAAGAAAATCACATTTCTCTAGAACAGGTGAAGGAGTCCTACAGAGAGAAATAGTAGGGGGTGGCTATGAATACATTGTATACAATGTTTTAAATTTTCAAAGAATAAAAAGAAACCAATTCCCAATTTTCCTCTCAGTAGTTATAATCATAGACCATAAATATTCAAACTATCTGTCCAATGTATGGTTATAGTTATCTATATTTGTGAAGGTATTTACTCATCTTAGTTCATCTTAACTTACAGGGTGTGTTGGTTACTGTCCTTGTTATGACAGAATGACAAAAGCAATTCCAGGGATTATTTTGCTCACAGTTTGAGGGTGTAGTCCAACATGGCAAGGAAGGGCATGAAAGCAAGAGCATAAGGCAGCTGGTCACATTATATCCATAGACAGGAAGCAGGGAGTTGCTTAGGTGGCTTCTCCTTTTTATTTAGTCTTATGGAAGGTCTTGAATGGTACTGCCCACGGTGAGGGTAGGAATTCTGCCACCTCACTCCTCACAGACAACCTAGGGCTTTGTTTCCTAGGTGGGTCTAGATCCTGTCGAGTTGACAAAATCATATCACAGGACTCCCAAGATCCCAAGATTAAATCAAAGAAGACTTTAAACACTCATAAATTAGATCTTTAACTTTGTGAAATTTGTTTTAATTACATATTTTCTCTAACTTACTCAGAATTAACATTTACTTGCAGGCAGAGAAAAACAAATAAATTCTCCTAATTCCCTGTTGACCATGTTTAAAATGGTTTGCCAAAATTAAAATAAGTCTTTTATAAATTATGTCTGTTTTCTCAAATAGTTTCTTCAAAATATGTTTTTACTTGCTTCGGGGATTATTTTTAGAGATTAGGAAGTTCAGTTGCCATGGGCATAAGACTACAGGAATTCCAGAAGAATCCAAGAATGACTCTATTTCATAGGAAAGAAACTTGAGTGTAAGCTAGGGAACATTCCGTTACAGTTCTAAAACCATGGCTTTGCACTCTCAACGCCACTGTTAATCCTTGGGTTTTGTAGACAGGGTCTTGAGTGTAGCTCAGGTCTGCCTTAAACTCAAGATACTTCATTGCCAAGTGGTGGGATTACGTGTACTCTGCCATACCATGGACCCTGGCTGGTCTGGAACTTGCTGTGATCTCTTTCTTGCCTATGCCTTCAAACTAATAGGTTTGAGGCACAAACTAGCTGAATGTAATTATGCACTTTAAGCAGTGAGATGTTCAGTGGGTCAGAGTGCTTAGCCAGCCAGCAAGCCTGACAAACCTGAGCTTGATTCCCAGAGAGAAACAACTCTCAGAAATTGTTCAGTGACATCCATGGCATGCCATGGCATTCATGCACCCACACTCATGACCATTATACACATACTACAGCAAACATACATTTTTAACTATGTGTTTTATGATGCAGTGTTCCCCAGCTGGTTTTTCCTAAGAACATGTGCTTTCCCATATCCCTGATTGGCTCTCTAACCAGTAGGAAGGAACCAGAATATTTTATATTACTTTTCTGTAGAGATTTGAGGAGTTAAGTAACATCACCGATGACTACCTTCTATTGCTATCAATTTGATTTAAAATAATATTGAACCTCAATTGGAGACATTGTATATGAGTAAGAATTTTTCTGAGGCATGTTTAACAAGTGGAAAATTCATTTCACCAAGTTAGATTTGCTCCCATTTCCTTGCAGTTACAGGACTTGAGATCCTTTAAGAAGAGACATGTATGCTAGAAGCTTAGCAGAGCAAATTGTTCTTGAGGCAGTATGTGTGTCATGTAGAGGGAAAGCTAAACCCAGAGCCACAGAGCTGATCCCCACATGACTCCTTTCATTGCAGGTACTTTAACTGCACTTCGGATGTGTTACCAAGGTTATGGTCACCCTTTGATGCTATTTCTAGAAGGAGGAGGAGTGGTGACAGTTTGCAAAATTAACACCCAGGAACCTGAAGAGACTCTGGATTTTGATTTCTGTAGCACCAATGTTATGAATAAAATTATCTTGCAGTCAGAGGGTCTCCGTGAAGCATTTTCCGAGTTGGACATGACAAGTGATGTTCTGCAGATCACCGTGTCTCCTGACAAGCCCTATTTCAGGTACATGAGTGCAACTGTCCCTAACATGGTCTGGTAATGAATCCAACTCTGCACTCAATGTTTGCCTGAGTTGCAGGAAGTTTTTACCCCTTCTAGAATATTCAGAACTTTTAGAAACATTTGATTACTTTATAATTTTAAGGCATAAGAAGAATGATCCACTAAGTATTTTATTGATGGGCACTATGATTTGTTGATGAGAAGCCCATTCTCGTAATCTACAAACCATTGGTATTTTCATTGCTGTATTCCATGTTATAAATGAGGTTACATCAGGGAAATCGGTTAAAACATTTAAAAAGTATGTTTGTATTACATGGGAGCCTTTTTGTTTTTCCTTCCTTTTAAGTTAGTTTGAAATATAAAAGGAAGTAGATATTGCTGATAGTTTGGTTTTTGTTTTGTTAACTTAGTAGTTATTCATGATCTAATGTACAAATCCATCTTAAGCCTGGTAAAACCACCTTAAAATTAAGGTAGAGGGGAAAAAATGTGTGAATAAGCAGAGAACAAAATTGCAAACCAGTAAGTACCAAGGAGTTGGGAAACAGTGCTTGAGTACTTGGAGGATTGATCTAGGTCAGCCTCATAAGTCCAGGCATTTTTCAGAAAGAATACAGTATTGAAACTGTTCTGACATTTGTGCCAGCAGAATTTCTGGTTTGCTTTTGTTTTTTGTTTGTTTGTTTGTTTTTCAGGACTAAAATTTTATAGAACTTAACAATTTTGAAGATATGAAATAAGAGAATATAAATTGAGTTTTTTTTTTAACTTAGGAACAATTGCAGCAGACTCTTTTGTGATGTTGGTCAGATAAAACTTTCACTCATGTCAAAAAGTTAGCCAAATTGGAAAGCATGACACCCCAATTAATCGTTTAAAACAATGTCAGAGGCTCCTTTTCCAAATCTTCCATTTCCAGAACAGGAAACAATTTGGTGTGTGGAAATGGTAGTGAATTCTCCTTCTGGATATGTTAAAATTTGAAGTTTATATGGCACTGGGGGATAGTTAGATATGTGGACATAGTGCACAAGAAATGAGCCTAGACTGGACATTAGATCTGATGACCATCATAACTGCAGGATGGTGAAGCCTAAGAAACTGAGAGAGAAGTTGTAGTAGAAAAAGAAGACAGACTAGGAACATGGAGAGTAGACATGGAACTTGGGGAAGGCCTCCCACGTCTGATCACTGTGCTTGTCAGCATATTCCTCCCATAGCAAATACTCAGGCAGTTCTTGGAGATTAAACTAGAGTTGTAAATATTTGCCAACAGTACAGTGGGGAAGATGGTTAAACTTAAGATCAGTCTAACACCCAAACACTAATATTAAAGCGTAATTTAACAGCAGAATCACACATAAATGGTTCAGCAGGAAAAGCTATAAACAGGACCCACACTTAGAGTGGTTTAAATAAATGTCTTCCATTATTCACAGTTCTCTGAGATATATTTAGATTTCTATCTATATACTTAGATACATATCTAGATTTAAGGATAAGGAAAGTTAACTGATTATACAGCTGTACAGAGTATATAGTGTGTACTCTGAAATGAGATTTTCTTCAGAGCTGTTTTCTAGGCTGGAGAGATAGTTCTGGCAACTATGAGCATATACTGCTCTTTCAGAGGACTCAGGGACAGGCTCCAAAGCTATAGAGAAATCCTGTCTTGAAAAATTAGAAAAGATAAGAAATACACCTAACCAAGCACCATAATGAAGTTTTCCACAGTATGCTATAGCAGCAGAAAGTATCTAGTAAACTACTTTTACTTTCTACTTTTATTCATGTGTATGAATATGAATCTGTACATGTGACTCTTGGTGCTCTAAAGGAGATCATTTTGGAGCTGGAGTTACAGGCAGTTGTGAGTTGCCTGTCCTGGAACTCGCTCTGAAGACCAGGCAGGTCTCAGACTTAGAGATATCACCTACCTCTGTGTCCTGAGTGCTGGGATTAAAGGCATGCACCACACACCACCTGGTAGTAAGGTGTATTTTAACTACTAGTCTCAGCATTTGGAGGTGGAAGCGAAAGAATTGAGTATAAGACCAACCACCTATACAGGCAGCTGTAAACCAGCTTTGGCCTATTATGTGGTAACACCCAAGCAACCAAACTTTTTTGACGTTTTATATATCTATATTTATGTATATATAATATTTTTATATTTACAAATATGCATACACACATATATAGATACACATTATGTGTGCTCTATGTATGTAGTGCATATACATGAGTGTGCAGGTGCCTGTACCCTTAAGTGCACATTTAAGGCCAGAAAAGGACATGGGGAGTTTCCTTTGTTGCTCTCACCTTATTGCCTTGGATCAGTAGCTCCTTGTTATGGCTAAGCAGCTGGCCACTAGGTTCTGAGAATCTTTCAGTCTTCATCCTCTAGGTAGGCTTACAGACATGCAGTTATATCTGGCCATTGTATGAGTTCTGGAAATTTGAACTCAGTTCCTGAGGCTTGCACTGCAAATGCACTTACCCACGGAAATGTCTCCACAGCCCCCAAAACCAGTCTTTGTATATGTCATTTAAGGCAGCATGGATCCTAATATTGCTTATTATTGAACCTGTAAATAAATGAGTTACTTACTTTCAACTATAGGTTATCTACTTTTGGAAATGCAGGAAGCTCCCACCTTGACTATCCCAAAGATTCTGACTTGATGGAAGCATTTCACTGTAATAAGACCCAGGTCAACAGGTCAGTTCTTAATATAAAGGTTGTATTGTTGGTAAAGATGAAGTCAAGTACCAAATTTCCATATAACAAAACAGATAATTTTAATGTATTAAAAAATGCATCACATTAAAAAAAAGTGGATGGGCTCTTGATTTACTTGGGGATAGTGGGTTATGATCACAGATGGATATAACACATTGACAAGTATTGGCTGCTCAATAGTTCCTGGCTAACATTTGTTACTTGGTGTTGCATGTGTTGCATTTAGTGGATCCAAATAACAGCTTTTCATTTACTCTCCTACAGATACAAACTTTCTTTACTGAAACCCTCTACAAAGGCATTAGCTTTATCCTGTAAAGTATCTATTCGGACAGATAATCGAGGATTCCTCTCATTACAGTACATGATTAGAAATGAAGATGGGCAAATATGTTTTGTGGAATATTACTGCTGTCCCGATGAAGACGTTGAGTCTTGAATAATTTACTGTGAATATTTATGTGTATTTGTAGTTGTGTTCTCACTTTGCATAATCTTCATGATTTCATATTGGATTATCTATAAAGACTCATGGAAAGAGCAGTGTTGGCACATGCCTTTAATTCCGGAACTTGGGAGGCAGATGAAGGTGGATCTCTGTGAGTTCGAAACCAGCCTTGTCTGCAAAGTGAGTTCCAGGACAGGCTCCAAAGCTTCAGAGAAACCCTGTCCCAAAATCCCAAAAAAAACAAAAACAAAAAAAAAAAAAAAAAAGAAAAGACTCATGAAGAAGACAGGAGCAAGGTTCCACTTTGTAAATATTTTTATTTTGTGAATAAATGTTTTCATATAGCAATAAATTATCTGGCTTATTGTACTGTCCCTGTGATTATCTTTTTTTATTTATTCATTTTATGTGTATGTGTGTTTTTGCCTACTTTGGATATATATGCACCATATGTGTGGCTGGTACCTGCAGAGTTCAGAAGAAGGTATTGGATGCTTTAGAATTGGATTAGGGATGTTTATGAGCCACCATGTGGGTTCTGGGAATCAAACTCCATGCTTCTGCAAGAGCAACAAATGCTCATAACCACTGAGCCATCTCCCCAGCATCCCCCTCTCTCCATGACTCTATAGGGGGTTTTGGTTTTTTTGGTTTTTTTGTTTTTTTGTTTTTTGTTTTTTGAGACAGGGTTTCTCTGTAGCTTTGGAGGCTGTCCTGGCACTCACTCTGTAGACCAGGCTGGCCTCAAACTCACCTGCCTCTGCCTCCCAAATGCTCAGGATTGTAAATTGACTAAGTTAATTCAGAGGAATTCCTTATCCTTTCATGCAAAAGTCCTGTTAGGGCTGTGGTCTATCCCTGTGGGAATGGTGCTGAGGTTTGGTTCTGAAATAGTCTTCCTACTGTTATTGTCCTAGAGGTTTTGGTTGGTGGTACTGACTAGGATAGAACAATATTGTCTGGTTCTGACCAAGTGGAACTTTGATATGAAAGGGTGGATGGATGGCTTAAACCATTAGTGGAACTCAGTGAACTGATTATGGACAGGTTGCAAAAACTTTGCTAAAGCCACTTAACCATTTCCATATGAAGGAATTTGATTTGGGGGCTGGAGAGATGGCTCAGAGGTTAAGAGCCTTGGCTGCTCCTCCAAAGGTCCTGAGTTCAGTTCCCAATACCTACATGGTGGCTTACAATCATCTATAAGATCTGGTGCCCTCTTCTGACATGCAGGCAGAACACTGTACATATGATATATAAATAAATCTTTAAAAAAAAAAAGAATTTGATTTGGGCTTGGATATCTCCTAACTTCGTATTACGATCATAAGAAACTAGCTTACCCTCATATGCCCCAAAATGCCAGTGCCTATGAACTAGCTAATTCAAGAGTTGTATAACTCAGGCCCATTAGCAACAGTAAACATTTGTCTATGGTCATACCACCCCAATCATACACAGTGTAATCAATCTGCTCCCAGAAGCTAAGCTGAGTTAGTTCAGGGTAGTATTTGGATGTGAGAAATATCAAGAGTTTGATTGTGTGATTCCCAGTCACTAGTTCCCAATAAACTGAAATACCTAGTTTTCCAAAAAGAATGCAATTTTAAATTAGGTGATGCTATACTCAACATTTCTACTGGTTTTTTTTGGGGGGGGGGGCAGAGAGGGCAACTCTCCCTGTCCCATGCCACACAAGACAGTCGATAAGTAATAAAGACAGTTCTCCAAACTTGCAACTTTGGGGCTGGCTCACTCACACCTACACTAACAAAATTGGCTCTATTGTGATGCTCTGGAGAGGGGCAAAGCCTGCTCTCCTGAGTGTTGCAGTGTGTGTGTGGTGGGGAGGGCAGGGACAGCTCTCCTGCTGTTATGACCACAGGGCCAGCTCTTTCACTTGTCCCAGGCGATGAAGGGAAGAGATGGGGAGGGCAACTCTCCCACGCCCATGCTGCCTCTAGACATGAGTAATGGAAACAGTTCTACTGTTTCTTAATAGTTCACGAAGCAGTAAAATGTTTAATTTGGTAAAACTACTCAGTGTGTTACCACGGTAGATTCATGCCTATATATCTGCCAAATCCATAATCTAGTGTGTAAGTGACTCTTCCACACCTACTGAAGCCAGTCTGGAATTTCTGGATATGAGCAAATGTTCCATCTCCAGGCAGAGCTAAAATTAACGACAAGCTGAGTAGCCAGTAAACAAGCAATGACAAAAAAAAAGGGGAGGGGGGTCAGGGCTGCACCTGGGGACTTTGATTCTGAGTGTCAGACTAAAGCATTCTGGGAGAAAGCTGGCAGCAGCCTGGAGAAAACCTGCCAGTTTATGGGCTGGCCTTGAGATTATGGTGCACACATGCTCTGGCCAGAGCCAAAGGCCGGTCATTAGGGATTGTGTGAGTATTGGATTTTACAGGCTAAACAAATGTAGAACCAAGATGTTCTGTGAGTTCTAAGTAGTGGGGTAGTTGGTAGTGAGACACCCAAGTTTCCCAAAGAAAAAGTCAGTTCAGGTAACAGGCTTTCTCTTGCCTTTGCTCACATGAAAAATAATATAATTCAATAATGCCCATTACTTCTAGACAGTTCATCAGCTGAGGAATGTTTTCACAAACCTCCAAGCATTCCTTTTCTAAAGACTTATTGCTTCTTTGTGTGTATGTGGGGGGGGGGGGAGGCACCATGGCACCTGTGTGGAGGTAAGAAGACAGCATTCTAGAGTCTGTTCTTGCCTTGGACCCGGTTGGGCCAGAGTCTCCCTTTAGTTCTGTTGCAGCAATGCATACTCCAGGCTAGCTGGCTTATCAACTTCTACTTGCAGATGATTCTCCCGTCTGCCCCTCATCTCATCCTAGGAATGCTGGGGTATGTGCCACCACACCCAGCTTTTTACTTCTGAGTTCAGTGACCAAACTCTTGATAGTCAGGCTTACATAGCTAGCACTTTTATACACAGAGCCACCTTCCCAGCCCACCCTTTTCTAAAGATTTTTGGATCCAGTCTGGTGGAGTCAGCAGGGAAGGAACAACCAGCTATAGTTTAGGGATACCAAGCTGACCTTAGAAACAGTCCCTTAATTTATCTTGTCCTACCCATAGCTTTTCATTTATAAAATAAAGTCCATTCTGATTCTGATATATAATCCATCCAGGGCAAATGTCTCAGGAGACTCAAACATTACTCACAAAGCAGTTTTAATAGCCTCAAACAGGCTATTAAAGCTACCTCCAAAGAGTTTATTAGGGTGTTCATCAATGAACTGCTTAGTAAGCTGTTTAATTTTTTTAAAACCCAGCACTGGGGAGGTGGTGCAGTCCTGGAGCCCTCTCCTGCACATGGTTGTGTTCAACCCACAGGATCTAGGAGAGAAAAGTGAGGACTTAAAGGAATGAACTACAATTAGAAAAGAGAAATAAAAGATGATAAGAGTCATAGAAAGCAAACTCCGAAGAACAACATGAAGCCCAATCTAGACAAAGCAGGATCAAAATATTTCTTATAGATCACAACCCTGGTTTCTAAGAGCTCTTACATATCCCACCTGCAGGGCTGCTGGGTGAAACTCTTTCCTGAAGAATCTTTAGAATCCTTAGTTTAAAAAAAAAAAAAAAAAATCTCTTCCACTTTGGCTCTGCCACTGCTGTCCATGATAAACATATTTTGTGCTCTAGAATTTGGGTTAGCACCAAGGTTGTTTTTATTGTTGGCTATCTTATGTAGAGTTTCCACTTCACTGATAATGTAAGACCTAGAAGGAAGGAGAAAAGTGTTTTTATTTGCCTTGGTCTGTCCCTTAGATGACATGACAGCCATCCCAGCATCACGTCACTGCTTCCTCATCTGAGTGGAAAGGCTGTGCTCATTTCAAGGCAAGGACAGCATCACATGACTTCACATTACCATATTCAACATGCCCAATACAGGCCTAGAGTCTTGGGTTTCTCCCAATAGACCAAGACACTCTTCCCTAGACTTAGTTGGCAAAGTCTGGGTAACAACTCCCTGGGTTGCCTTTAATAGCAGCTAAGAAAATCCTACCTAATTTATCCAATAAATTTCAGGATTTCAAATAATTGCTGAAGAGCACAGAGTTGTTCAAGTCCCAAAGGTAACGATAAACGGGAAGAGGACCCACCTTGCCTGTTTCTGGCCATTAAGGCTTCTATACTCCTGTTTCCTAATACTGGAAGAGCTGAGCTAGAAGTATAGGTCAAAATACTCATTCACAAAGTTTCAATCGAGAGTGGTTTTCAGATGCTATTTATTCCCCAAGTCTATAAAAAAGAGTGGCTTTCCTAGCCCTTGGAGGGATAGAGTTGTGACATTCCACAAAAATCTGATACAGAATTTTGTAAGGAACTTGGGGTTTTAAAAGTACAAAGTCACTAAAGACTGTTTCACACTCTGATTACTCTCGGGCTGCATGACATACAGGAAGTTACCTGTGCCTTTAGTTACCTAGTCAGTAAAGGAGAGTTGATGTTAGCAGAGGAAACAGGCACAGATTGAGGTCTGCTCAAAGGTCACACCAATCAGCCGCCACATGGTGGCAGGATTCCCCTGCACAAAATCTGTGTTACAAGAACATTGTCTTGCACTAAGTATAGTCAGTGTCTGCTTTGAGTTTAAGTGTTCATTTCAAACTAAATTTATATTTTCTGTTTTCAATGGTTCTAGATCCCATTTGAAATGTTAACAACAAAATACTTCCTACATTAGCTTCAGTGTTAGTTTTCCCAAGCAGCCAGCCTCTGCCCCGTTAAGCATCAATGCTGTAACTAGATCATAAAATCACATAATAATAAAAATGACTATTAATTTAGTACATGGTTACAGTGGGCCAACACTTTGCAAGCACTTTATCTGTTTCTCACAACAATCCTGACAGGTGAGGTTCTCATCTCTATTTTATAGACAAGCCAACAGGATTACATATAACTGGAAAGTGCTAGTGGTTTGAATCCAGGCCTCCCTGTTTCCAATGAAACTATGGTCCACTATGTTGCCAAGGCTGATCTCAGGGATTAAGTGCTGAGATCTGCCTGTTGCCACCTCCCAAGCAGCCAGGACTAGAGGCAGGTGCCACCATGTTCAGCTTTTGAGCTACTACTCTCAACCATTGTAAAACATGTAAGGAACAATTAGTTTATAGTGACGTATTGAAGTCAAGTGTCTATGATCAGGTGAATGGTTGATTGTTGAGACAATTACT